CACTCCACTAGGATCAAATAAACTAAGACCGACAGTTTATATTTAAAACTCCTTGGATATTGTCATATATGGATTTGTGCATCTCTGTAGCTCGCCCGACTATATATATATATACCGTCTATCATCCTTCTTCGAAAAAAAATATAGTTTTCTACCACAGTATATAAAAAATTATATTAACAAGCCAAGTTTTGGACATCCTGTCCATACAACCGACAATAGTAAAAAATTATTTAGGAGTTAATAAGCCAGAATTAAGAACGGTTCAAAATTTGCCAAGTAAAGCCGACAAAATTAGCTTAACCCCTAGTGAGATTAATTTCAAATTGATTATGTTTGTTTACCATTATATTTAAACAATTATTTAAAAATTGTACATACATACATTACATAAGTCATGTAAATAAAGAAAAAGTTGTAAGTTCAAAGCTACAAACAGCCATACCATCGAGCACGATGCAATTAATTCGGTAATAAGATGCTGGTGATACGTTACTTTGTCTGTATGCAAACTTCTGTTATTTGAAAAATTATTTCAAGCTTCCTGTGATTGCAAGGAGGTTGTAGTGAAAAGCGAAATAGATTAGTGACGTGGCTATAGAGTCCAAAGGAATGCGAATTTAGGGAGGAGAAAACGTCAGCAAGCACAACGGCCATATGGCCTGTACTGTATTATAGATTGTGAAATGTTAGAACGGTGTAAGTGTGGAACGGCCTTTACAGACAGTGTCGTTTATCTGAGTTAAGTCCAATCTTAGTGATAATGACGAATTTAGATTCGTGCGGCCACATGAGTGACTTGGCAATGGAAAATAAATATCGAAAGAGAAAGAGCATTATGGAGTACAGAGGCCACAATGGTCCTTACGTTGATATTGTTTATATAATTTATCGCTGAATAGATTGGCAGTTCTGAGCAAGTGCGAGCTTAACTCTGACGATTTTAGAACAAGAAGGACTGATACACAAGCACGCTCTTGTTTTTTTTGAAATATACTGTTTATATAAATGTGTGAATATATTGGGTAAAACAAAATGCTTTGTTTTGTGAAACTAACGAAAGAAATTTTAAGGCAAAAAGGTAAAACTCTGAATTGTGTGAAGTTTTTTCCGTAGGCCTTCCATTGTGCCGACTTCAATAACAACGTGGAATTGATGAAGTGCTTGCTGTGTTTGCCAGTCCTGTTTTGACAACGAGTTCTCTGCGAGATCAATGAGAATATTATGGGAACATATTGCAATTAAACCTGTCAGTTAATCCGAGAAAAGGCGAGCTTTTACTTAAGTCAATAATAATAATAACTATACCTTCCTGTGATTATAGTAGGAACGCGAATCTCTACAGCTTCTAAAAAAGCTTTGGTAAAATATATATACCCTGATATCTGATATAGTTGATTTACTTTATCACTGATCTAGCAACTAATAAAATTATCTTATTTGATTGTGTGTTTAAAACGTTTTTTTTAATAAGATATCTATATGTGAATGACTTCTCGTTTAATACCGCCTTGCAGCATAATATTCTATTCTATAGTATTTGTTTACTCAAACATTGCGGAGTGTTTAATGTTTTTTTTACTTTGAAAGGGTGCATCTAAATAGCTCTTAGTGTATTATATTACGAATGTGCTCGAAATATGCTGCGTATATTATGTGAATACTGGCATATCGCAAACTTTGCGTTTACATTGAACTCCGTTCCCATGGGCTTTTACCAAACTTGCTAGCCTGTTATAAGCTTATTAAGATTCTACCCATCCAAAAAATGATGCTTAGTTGTATTGGAGCTATCCTGTCAGTACTTTCCTTAAATTACGATTCATTTATCGAATTGCGCCAATGTGGCGCCATTACTTTGTTTTTAGTCATTTTACTAACATATCATAGCTTCATACAAACATGAACGCAATCATCTTTACATCATAAGACAGATCAGCTAGTCTAAATATGGGTTCCACCATATTACCAATTAATACACTGATAAGCCATCGGTTTCACTTGAATTTGAGTACATTTGACTCCGTTGCTTGTACTATATGCGTACTATTTAAAAAAGTGAATAGTTACCACGTTAGCTCGTTTTTTGAGCGAGAGATATTTTAATTTGAAATGAAATATAAACTTTTCAACCCATGATTCTGAAATACATTTCCCACATTTCAAGATTGCTCTCTCTACCCGGCATCGCTGTCGACTGACTTCCAGCAGGGAACGAAATGTGTTCATTGGGTGTGGTGGTGGGCGGAGTCGAATCTAGATCACAACGTGTCCCTAAGATTAGACAAAAAGCTATCACTGGGACACATAAATAACCTAAGAGCACCTTTTATTTCTATCGTTTTCGCAACCAAATAAGTGAAACCGCTTTCCGTATGAATTCAATAATTTCATATTTATGCTTGTTCTAAACAACTATGACCGGCGAAACTCTCGTTTTGCCTTTTTGTAAGAAGAACAATTTGCGTTGAAGGGTGAGCCGAAAGATTGCCATTTGCTACTTGTTTACACGCGCGTATCCGTTGCCTCTTACTCTGTCAGAACAGTAAACCTAATTTTTGCTAACTATAAACATTTTATTCCCTTCCCTATGTATTTTAGCCCATTTCCTTAGAGTATCTGTTTCACATAGGAAGTAGAAACTGTAGAGGTATACTTATACAATGCATAGGCTTCTCGAATATCGAAAAAACAAATTAATAGTATCAAGTTAATCATATCATTCACAAATACAACCCTAGCAATAAAATCGGATTTTTTAGGCAGATATCTATATCAATTACATTTCATTAAATAACTTTCAATGATTGTACAATATTTCAATTTTAGAAAGATTCACTGACCGAACCCCAAAATTGAGCTGAAAAAATTGAAACTTAAAAATTCAACTGTAGTACTATTAACGGCTGTCCAAAACGATCATCAACCAAATCAGAATCTTTGAACTAAGCAGAACCCTTTGTTAACTCTCATTTGACCTTATTTTAGTAAAACATACAAAGAAAAGTATAAGTTATGTGATCATGTTGTTTTCCTGTAAGATTTAGAGATACTAACATATGCTGGAATGGTGCTAATGATCCGAAAATTATTTAGTTAAATTTTACTCATGTTTTTAAAACTTCTAACTGTTTCAAATGCGAGGTACTGATCCAGAGCAACGAACCTAAGCAGAGTACGCCCATAGTAATAGTTTATTTTAAGAATAGTTTTGATTTATTTTAGGATCCAAATGCAAAAAAAAGTTAATGAAGACGTAAGGAGCTCAGACTTTTCTAACTTGTGAGCTACACAAACCATACGCAAAATTGAACACGCTTATATTTATATTGTTAAGTTCAGTTTTATAGTACCTCATATACACAAGTCGTTCATTAAAGTAAATACACAAAAGAAGGTGCTAACTTAATTGATAGACGTAATTTTCTTTTCAAAATTTTTCGGAAATATGTGTTTTACATCGCGACAATGAATCTATTATTATAACAAATACGTGAATAGTCACACGTATAGGTCTATACATGCGCAGAACCACTGGCTATTAAGTGCTCATTCCTATTGACGAAGGACATAGTTAAGTCATTCCGTTTTATTTTGTATCGTCACAGAGGCAGGCGAGACGTTCAATGTGAAATAGCCTAAAATTTTGAGTATGCCCTTAGAAAATCAAGGTAAGTTCTTCTTAAACTATATATCAGGAGAATATGGCATTTGGTGACCGAGATGCCAAATTGAGTTAGCTTCGCATAAAACAGGCACTGTCTGGCTTCACGACAGGACTGAAGTTCGACTCTTAACTTACCAACTCCAAAACAAAACTTCACTGACACGCTATCGTATCGCCAGTAATCACAGCAGAACGATTGGAAAATTACCAGTTTGTTGCTTACGCATCGTCCTTTAGTGTTCCGGTTTAACGAAATTACGATTTGCAGTTCCGCAAGCAGCAAGGCTTTTAGCATTTTTAGCAAATGCACAGAAAGCTTCACTAGATGATGCCGTACAATTTTTCGGACAGACATTTGGGTTAGAACGCGTGCGTATATACCCGACTATATTTTTTGTGGGAGAAAGTCGCTGAGGTGTATTTCTTTCTACTACATCAATGATAGATTTGTCAGTCTGTTACTGGGAGAAGATGAGCAGCGTAGGGTAAGGCATGGGAAGCTATGATTCCAAGTACTCCACGATGTGTATAATGATGGCAGGAACCTTGCCTGGCGGAAGACCCGTGCAAGGCACCCCGACGGCGTCGAACGCCGTTAGTACACGACCTAATCGGTTTTAAAGATAGCGAAATTTCGCTTGGTATTCCGTTCGACATGTGCCCTTAAAAGTCTATATACCGCGGCATGAAATTGTACACACTGAAAATCGAAAGGTACCGACTGAGAGGCAGAGACAAGAAGAAAACAATAGAAACGGGCGGTAAGGAATTCTGCGGTAAAAATTCCCAAAATGTTAAGAAGTCGATACAGACGGTTGTTTGAAACACTCAAGAAAGCAAAACTAGTACACAGACCAGACAGAAGGCTAGGAAAAAAATTACACAATTTCAATGTTCATACATAACTGTTTATTTTTCATTTAGTCCTACAAATAACACACTGTTTTATCTATGCAATATAAACAGTGGTCGTATTTAGTACGCACCTATTTTTCTGCTTCTATTGTGTGTTGGTATTGAACCTCGCCAATGATGCACACCTGCAGCTACGGTCTTTAAGCCTATGTCCCAACACATCACTCCTATTGAACAAAAAATAACAAACGCAAAATCAAACCTGACATCAGCTCAATGTTATCTGATAAACAACAGTATTAGTGTATTGCAGTTTCATCTCATTACGCGAAGGCCACCTATTTTATGCAAAGGTTTTTCGCAAATTCTTTGCTTTCATGCAAATCTCATGCTCTAATGGTCTGTCATCATTGGAGGGGAAATTATGAATAGACACACATTCTAATTTGAGACTATAAAACATTTTTTTGCGTTACAGTACTCGCCAAATCTCAGTATTCCTACGCGGACGACTTCCACCCTGACACCGACTACGCTGCGCAATATTCAAGATTCTTTCGTCGAGTACGACAATGAGGTATGTTGCCGCGGTATGTTTTCAAACATTTTATGACTAAGTTACTGCTAAGTTCATGTGGCTGCATTATTCAGAGAAATATCTTAAGTGCTTATAAATAGTGATCTGTATCGCCGATAGATGAGTCCCCGTTTCAAATCCGCTTACATTTGTGTGTAAACAAGGAAAAGTGACGGTGTACAGCAAAATGCGGTTGTTCTCACCCATAGGTAAATCAGTGCACGTTCATGAGGTATGCCGACCAAGCTTTTATCTTATACCTGACTTATTATTACTCTATTTCTCCTGTAGTTGGTTGAGGTCTATTTCTGTCGTACTGTCGTATTACTGTTGTAGCCACAGTGTTTTTAAGAACGGTCGGGTTAGGTTTCGACGCAGACAGTTAACTTGGATGTAGAGGACACCTCTTCTTGGTTCTGGCTTATCGGTTCTGTTTTAATAGGCTTACCCACTTACGCTCATATTGTAAAGAAATGTAATAACAAAGTACTTAAGTAGTAATTCTTTTATACATCAGAAATAGACATTGAATATCGGTGATTAAAGCCCTTTCCGACGTTAGCGAGCGTTACTGTCCAGCTGCAGGAAACATATTCACTGTCGACCGATCGTCACAGCGAGATAAACTGCGAGTCTGCTGAGGATTAATCTATTGAACATGTCGCTTTGAATACTTGGATGGTCGAATATTGGATGAAAGAACCCGCTGCAAAGGCAGTTTTTGATACTAATATACGTAATATCATACCACGCCATTATTTTAGAATTCCCGAATCTGAGATTCATATACATGATACAGTATAATAGGTAACTTCCCTGTGATCCACTTTGCACTTGTTTTTTACAGGGCACTGTATGTCCTCAGCTCTCTCATCTGAAATATTTAGTGGAATGTGAATCGGTATAAGTTATTCCGTTTTTATAGTGAGGGAAAGTTGGTTTAAAAAGTGGATATTATCAAGCTTTTAGGACTTTTTGGGTCCACGCTAGTCCGAAGTCTGGTGCATGAATAAAGAAATTAATCTTTGATTAATTTTCAAAAGACAGAGCTATTTTTAACGTCTAAGTATGTTTTCATATCGTATCAGACTTCTCCTGGACGATAAAGAAGGAAAGTAATTAGTTTATTTTTCACCACAGTTTCATCTGCCCAAGCACTACATTTTCCAAAGTAGACAAAAAATGAATCGCGTTTTATCTGTAACTTACATATTGAAAGTAGCTGTACGTTCTCATGTGATACGAAAGTAATTGATAATTTTTTTATTAAAAATGTTTAAATTCCATTTGAATAATAGCATAAGGCCTTTTAATGTTTTTCATAGCATTGTTATTAAATACATTGTTAATTGTATGTAACATATTCGTTTATTATCACTTATCAAGATGGTGACTAACATCACGAGAGGTCGCTTTTTAAACTAAAGTGATGAGCAATGCCGTCTAAAATGACTTCTAATGTAATCAAATGAAGGTTCAACCTCCTATGGAGCACCAAATGGCAGCCGGGTTTGCACCTCCCTCTGTAATAGTGCAGCAGTTTGCCTCCAACGGAACCCACAACAGTCAAGGTGTACTTACCCCCGTGGTCGGGACAAACCCAAACAGCAACAGTCTCGAAGACAACGCTGTGAGCACACTCCAGCGCGAACGACACGACATTGAGGTATTTCTTTTTCTCTGATATTTTCAAGAATCCCATGTAAAAGGACTAATTCAATGTTTCAGTAAATTACAAAGAACTAACAGGACACTGTTTTCCTGTATACCAGGATTAATCATCAAGTCTTTCATTAAATGTCAGTATTGTCTAAGTTAGTAGTTCGGTAACATTTATGCTCGTAGTGTTTTTACAGGTTTATATGTACATGGCCACACCATAGAGCGCTTGTATAACCCTCAGTCATGGAAGTTGTGTATGATGCATACATAAACTAAAGACTTGTAAAACATGCAAAGAAACGAAATAATTGCAAAGGCGGTCGTTTCTATTTAATATAGCCTCTCTACTATAAAACTACATTGTTATGTGTCCAGAAAATACAAACTAATTGAAATAAGTGCGTTGTTGGACGTAGATATTCTTCATTCTGTTGTACTGATGTTGTCGTAAATTCAATGTAAGTTTTGTTGAGATTATGATTTGTCTTCGCGTTCTACAAAACAGATTTGGAATCGTATATTTAGGTACATATGCTTTTGTACCTATTATATATCAGTCTAAAAGCTTTCCACTTGTCTTTTTAAGTGAACAACCTTTTCCTTTTTTGCCGATACTTAGGTAAAACAAGAAATAATTGAAGAAGATGCAGGCTGGGTTCAGACTCCGTGGACAGATCCAGGTCTTTTGCCTTCGACCGCTTCGAGATCGGGTACAGCAGGGGACATTACTAATTCCAGTGTCGTGGACTTTCAACAGGGTCATTTAAACTTCCCTCAAATTTCTGATGTTACCAGGTGTGTTTCTGATGAAGTTTGAAATAATTACAATTTAAAATAAATCATTACCTTGATTTTCTGGTCCCTTTTCAATATGCCTAAAGCGTATTTGTCTGGTGTAGTTGTAATATAATATGGAGCACCAACTTAACGCAGTCCGAAACAAGCTGTCCGCGTGTGTAAACCTCAAAGAAAGCCATGTTAAATAGAATCGAACAGCTATTCGCTAAATTCTATTTCATTTTATTCCCAAATAATTTTATACATATATAGCCTTGGTCATGGCTTAACGTCCGTGGACGCTATTATAATTGGTTTTTTTGGATGAAGCTATTTCTAAACTTTTTTTACATTCCTTGTACCATTAGTTCATAAGAAACATTTAAAGTCAAGCATCGATAACTACTTCTCGGTTGAGCAGTTATGTATCACTTGTATAGTTTTAAAGAGCTCATTATAAAACACCAATTTAATTATTCATCATCACTATCATATACACCAATGCGGTTTCAAAAGACAAATGCATACTCACTCAACTCATTGAAATGGTCCACACGGCTGTACACACTAACATAAAGAAGATAATTTTAATTTTTTCAAAGCCGTTGACGGACTGAATCATTTGCAGTTTATAGTTAAAGTATTTAAAAATTAACAATCCTACAATCAAACGAATAGCAGAATATCAAAAAGGCAAATGTCTCAGGTATTCTGTAGGTTGATGATGATAGTTGCTAAGGGTAACAACAGTCGTATTTAATGTGGTTCGTGATTTGCGAGCGTGTCTCTGGATGAGCTTTATTTTTATATTTTCTCTTGATCGTTAAACGAAATTGTTGGCAAGGGTCAGTTTCTTATTGTGTGGTCCGCTACCATAGTCAAAAAACGGAATCCACATGTGTAATTAATGAGGTATATAAGTTGACAAAGAATGATATTACAATAGTTGTGCAAAATTGCACTGTGATATGTAATACTTGAAAGAAACACGAGTATATCTTAATCAATGAAATTATACCTACAGTAAACTCTTGCGGACATTTTGGACTTGGCCCCAGAGTTGCATTCTAATTGCTAATAAAGCCCAATGCGCAGGCTTTGCTTCGTTGCTGTTTTGCTATTATTTTCATTTCATTTCACGTATATAAAGATTGAAGTTAAAGGGCCAATTATATTTGTATTATAGGCAATCTCAAGTAACTCCTAGTCATAAGACTAATACTAATAAATACAAACTCTTTTTTCACAATCAATTATTTTGAAACGTTACTACGTTAATTTGTCGTAATATTTTTTCCGTTTTACCTTTTCACTAATTGTTCACTTTGATATATTATTAAAAAAGTGCATTTTTGATTATTCTGTTTCGCCTTTTGCGAAAATCGAATACCTACCGAAGCAGCGCGGGATATTTGTGCCGTTTATATCGAGCACTATTTCTGAGAAAACTGTTTACGAATAGTTTGTGCAGTTAAGAACGGCATCATGTACCTGGAGGTTGACCCTGTCCCGGTTGGCCATTTGACGTTAATGAAGGTCAACTGAAGGCACATTTGAAAGGAGATAATCGGCAAAGAGTTCATTAATTTAGTGGGGAAATGAATTGCAGCTATATAACTGATTACAGGCGCCTTAAATATATGAGGGGTTCTTAAAAATTCGGAGTAATTGCCCCATTAACTAAGAAAGACGGTTTTCCATCGTCTCTCAGTATCTCGCCCGGCACCAAGCATTATGCAGCCGCATGTTGCTTGGTGTGCTTGATGCCTCTTACATAGAGTTGTCACCGGTTATAAGAAGTCGTCTCCACGCCGACATAGAGCAAAAAAGCCTCCTTGGAGCCCCAGAAGATACGCCAAAGCTTAGAATTAAGCGGACCTTAACGAGACAATGATTTGCTTGGCACTGGAATGGTCTTATGCACTGAAAATTTCAGAAGAGACGGTTAATAAAAACTTGCATATGGCCCAGTTTCATTAAGCAAATAAGGTCGTACAACAGAAAAAACGTGGTAGACGAAATAGCCATTTACGTTCAGAGACAATGCCAAGCCGCACATAGCAATGGCTATCAAGACACTGCGAGAGCGCTAAAGTGGAAGGTTAATTTGCATCCACCATATACTCTACACCACGCTCTAACAGATTATCTTCCTTTCCAATTACTGGCAAGTAAATTTAGCAACTGTACATTCGATATTGGAGAGGGTCTAAAAACCCGGTAGGATGAGATACGCAATAACAGACTAAAAATTTTCCTAAAGAAGACCTAAAAAAGTAGGAGAAGTTCATGAAGAGTGACAATGAATTTATGATCAATTATTTATTGTCAGAGTGCAAATGAAGAGCTGTTTCACGTTAAATGAAGAAACCGAAATTACTAATGTCTTGACATACTAGTTTAAACAAAACCTTTCGCGCAACACAAGTTAAGCACACCTGAATTTTTTAATAAAAACAAGTAAAGAAAAAAAAGAGTAAAAACAACACGGTTTTTACGCAAATCTACATTTGTGAATTTAGTGATATATCAGGGCAGACGATGCTGGTGATTACCTTAGTGCTTATAAACGGCGGTGCGACGTCGCTTTGATACGTGGAAAAATAAAAAGAAGTTGCTGTCCTGGTTTACGACCAGCCAAAATAACATGCATGGATCCAATAAGTTTTGTCTTCTAGGGAAAAATATATTTGCCTAACCAGCTTTATCTTCAACAAAACTTTCCCTGGAGATGTACAGAAAATTAGCCCAATCCGTTTACTTTAAGGAATCGTTTCAGATTAAATAAACCTATATACTTAAACTGTTTGAATAGTATAGTTTTATACTGATAGCAATACAATTTATAAAGTGTCTATGAAATATGCCATTGAAAGGAAAACAACAAAAACTTTTACTATACAAAGATTACACAAAAACACTTACATGAAGGTGTATAGTCAAAGTTTAGGAAATAATGCTATAACGAGTTTTTTTTATTATCCAAGACGATACTCTCCGAGGCGGCCAATATAGATTGCATGCTCAAATGCACGTTCGGTTTTTCTGTCTCTTCAGTATTTTCGCTTCGTATAATGAAGCACAAATACTTCACACTTTGTATTGAAATCTGTTGTATATGAATTAAACACTAGTAGAGTTCCCTTGTGACCTTCTAAAATCTATTTGGTTGGTTAGTTTGTACTTACCGCCTTTAGAGTTCAATAAACATGATAAAGTATTTCAACATATATTCTGTATACAACATATTCCTGAAACCTTGTATTTGTTGTAATGTGCAAGCCATCTAGGTAGTTTATGTAAACGGTAGACTGGAAAATGTCTTGTACGATAGAAAATAGATATTAATACATATTATTTTACACGCAGTTGCTTCTTAAAGCTTAAGTCATATTACGAAAAATTGAATTCTGCAAACTGGATTGGGCGTTTAGTACATGAGCTTATTATGACCCAAGCAATGTATATTTTTTGGAATGTCAGAACATCAGTGCCCTCGTTAATTGGATCAGTGGAGGACTGCAATGGAGCAAATACCGCAAATAAGAGACGAACTGCGTTGTCAAATTGTGCTGCGACGTCAAGAGGTACCACGACCTTTACGCCAAGCTCCGCACATGAACAAAGTTGTCATCCTTCGACGTCCCGACGAAATCTAAAAGATGAGGGATTGCCGCCCGAAGAAGAAGAAAGACGACGTCAGAGACGGGAGAGGAATAAACTCGCTGCGGCAAGATGTCGGTATGAAAAACTCTACCATAAATTATTAATAGAATATCTCCTCGATGAGTCGGGTTATTTATCTAAAGCTTTAGAAACGAATATGTTCTTATAGACCCGAAGAAGCAACCTTTGATTAAAAAATAATTTAGTCTTTAAAGTCATCTTAAAATATTTCTAAAGTAAGTAGGATTTAACACTTTTTGGTTTATTTATTTTGATAAAATCGTCTGCAAGGATTTTTTAGTTCAACTACATATTGTTTTACCAGATTATTGTGGAACCGCCTTGCATACTCCTTAAAAAATCAGTTAAAAAGAAGGATAAGACCGCTATTAACGTTCTCATAATTTGGTCAATAAAAATGGTCCAAGATTATGCACTGAAATTATTTATTATGAATAATTCAATCAGACCGCTCAAACTAACTGTTCTTTCTGCTCTTTGCTCCGATTAGACCTGATGTATTTCTTTTACGACAAATTAGCTGCGAATCTGTGAAGTCAACGGGTTTTCATCTGTACAGTTCTTTAGAGTGTCATAGTCTCAAAAGCGGCATTACAGAATTAGTCTTCTGGATTTCGCAATGTATTCGGCATAAGATTTGCCTTTCTGCTAATAAATGTATGAAGCTCTCCGTATTATTCAATGTCATACTCCACTTTTACAGAATCTTACCGCCAAACACGTACATATAGATTCTCATTCGGTATTACATTTGACGTGTGTCAAATGTATCATATTGACGCAAGTCAACAGTGTTATGTTCTCAGTGGTTTAACACATGTTTATAATAGTAATGCTATCGCGATGACATGCAGTGGAATTGTTGAAGGCGAGTATTAATTCAATTTATAGCGAGACCATTTCTTTTTCAGCTGAAAAGGGGATGTTTTTATTGTTTACTAGAGAGGGAAAGATAGTGTTTTCTAGTCTTATTTTTTTTATTTTTTATTTTCTAGAGTTCAAGCCTTTACCAGTTTATAGCAGGCTTAGGCCGTTAATCGGTTCTATTGTTCACTAAACCATCACGGAAACTTTAAAAAATGGAGACTGTTTCAAGAATACAATTGGTCGCTTTGTGAAGAAAGTGCCCACACATAAATTCGCATGGACTTGATATCAAAGTGGGTTTTTGAGACCACCTCAGTACCATTATTGACAGCTGTTACCACCAATGTCGGTGGTATATTGATACCATTTTGACCGCAGGGCACATTTTTCACCAGGCAAGCGCAGTATAGTTGCAATTATAGCTAATCATGTTTCACAGTTTTCGCAACGGTTTAGTGAGGTAGTTAGACAGATTATCGGCCTAAAAAATAGAAGGAGAAAAATAAAAGGATCTACGATGATGTAAATGAGATGCAACTTAAAAATATATGCGATAGTTTTGGTTTGAACACGCATGTAGATACTTTTCGCTTTGCGCTTAAAGCTAGCCGCTTAAAACGGTACTCAAAAATAGTACTGAATGTAAAACCTAAATATTTATCGTTTCATAAAATATAAGCTAGGACTCTAAAGCCTAGTGAATAATATCCAGTTCTGAGCTGTAACATTGGCTAATCAATGGTAAGTCCCTGTGGATAAAATTACGCACGTAGGACGTGCTTTCGAGTATATACAGGGCTCTACAAGGATATATACATATATCCCTGTAGAGTTCTGTATATGATACGAAGCATTATAACCCTACTCGAGATGCTGATCATCTTTAACTTTCAGATCATGGGCTTATTTACTTGTCCTCGCTTAGGCTCATGTATTACTTACTTTTGGCTTTTTTTTTCCTTTTTAAGCCCTCTCATTCGTTTGTATAAGAGCAGATAGTTCACAACAGAAGTGTAATTCTATCCTTTGGGTTCCACATTTTAGACAAAGGCGTGTGGATCAGACGAAAGAACTGCAGGATGAGGTGGACGGGCTAGAAGGTACACAGAAAAAATTACGCGGAGAACTTGATTCATTAAAACAAGCCAAAAAAGAACTTGAAAAACTCCTTCAACAACATTCGTGTATTCAACAACGTCAGAGTGGTATTTCTCCGCCGAATAATTGCCGGCTTAGAGCTCCTGCTACGGCTACACCAGGTTAGTAATTTTTACCTATTTTATGAAAAATATATTTAAACTGAAGTCCCGAAGGAAAGTGCAGAGGAGAAATCTAAATGGATATATCAAACACGGAAATCACTGTTCAAATTTGGATATCAACGCACCGAAAAGAGCTCGTGTTCGAAGCTATCAGCAAATCAGAAATTCTTACTCAGAATATAGACCGATATGATTAAGTAAGATATGAATCTGCTGTATTGATGATATGGGACTAACCACCAAAGTATATCCTCTGGTAGGGGAATGTACAGATATACAGTACGTAGCTATCAATGCTATTTGTTGTCGCTGATTGTTACTACTAATAATTAGCGACAACAAATCACTTGCTAAAATTGTAATATAACTAGTAATGTGACGATCTTTGCAAACATGATGCCTGTATAAAAACATTTCGACTGGATCTGGGATAGTACTTTCTACTAGGCCGCTTAATATAAACCCGGCGTAAAAAAAGTTTCATTGGAATTATTTTTTGTTTATTGCAATAGCTTTTATTAATATGGATACACCGTTTTCAACGATTCTTCAACGAGGCACATGCCAAGTGAATTGATTTGCCAAGAAATGAAAAATAGTCAATGTCTAACGAATATATTTCTCGTTTTAAGGAAAAACATTATGCTACCATCCTTAGACCTGTTGATTCAAGTGGGGACTTTTAAAGATGTAAGTGGTAATCCGTGAGCTGCGATTACCGAAGGCAACTAAATGACGTTGATAACTGTAAAAACATCTAAAAAAAAAATTAAAAAAATAAAAACATGTAAAAACTGTAAAAAATAATGTAAAAACATGTAAAAAAAATCGATAATAAGAGTTCCGAAAGCTTGCAGTAGATACAGGTAAATCTGGCAAATAATTAGTTTACCAGCTACTCGTATAAAACAAATGTATTGAGATAACTGCCATAAGCATACGCCTATTTTGCAACGATGGCGTTACAACTTTATTCATAGTCGCCTTAAACAGCAGAAACATGGTTTACCTATGTCCGCCTCCACTCTATTCATACATTCAAAATTAAATATATAGATTTTAAACAACTTGAGGCTATAAGATTTAACCGATAATTGACACTAGGAGCAATGCGTAACCTTTTCATACGTGAATAACACGTTATTTCCCGTAGGTTGGATCGACTACGTTAGTAGATATGTTTGTTATGGGTTAATATAAATTGGTGCAAAGAAATCAAAAATGTGAAATTAGATCAAATAAATGAAAGCCTGCCTCATTTATAATGCCATGCATCGAATCAAATAATAAAACAGTGGCCCGCTAGAAGTTGCTGAACAGTGTTGATGGCATTGGCAGTCATCTTTGGGATAGTGAAAGATTTTACGCGCAATATCATGAAACTCATAAGTTACGGGACGAGATAAATTGACGTTTGGGTCTCTGTTATTTTCTGAGCTGTTCTACAAAAAGTGGCATACTAGTGAAGAAGCAAATAAACCCATTCTTCACCGATATGACGGCTTTACGCGATTGAGGTAGCAGAGTTAATTGACCTTAAAGTGCTTCCACACTTACGACACTTCATACGGCTTACAAGGGCCTATTTTTTAGTCAGGAAAGGTAAAAACTGTTTTAAAAAAGATCGTGCAGTTCCTTTATCGTTGCAGCTGATACAAGTGCTTTTCATGCCCTTTGATAACATGTTTCGTAAATAATCGCGGACCTTTGCACAAATCTTTGTTGCGTCTGCCTTTCGCAAATTGATTTCTAGGCTGAGCTTGCAATCTCGGTTTGCGATTTCGGCTTAAATCGTCTAACACAATATTATCCCACTTGGTACGATAGTGGCAGCGATCGTAGCCGTGTGCAAATAATACCGATTCTCACGGTATTCTTTGCACACGGTTCTTTGTCTTGTTTGGTACAAGACTTGTAAAGTAATGGCGATGGCTCTAACTGTTGCAACAAGCAACACGTCCTGCATGACTTTTTATCCGTAGGAGACACAAGAATCGAGGATTTGTATTTCTTTAATGCAACAGACCCAATAGCCAACAACCGATGGAAGGAAACATGGGTATACTACTTTACATTCGGGCTGACACTCTGCAATGTAAACCAGCTTTTCTAAGATTTCGACGGAAGACTAAAGTTGGCCTAGTGACCCCCCCTCTCCCCTGTATGGCCTTTGTAGGAATACCTTACGGTTCAGATCCAAGATGACTTAATATACAGGGGATAGAAGCTGAGTTGGTCACGAGTTCAAAAACCTTGACATACAGGAATATTTACTTGCAGATGGCGGTTCCTAGTTCCCTTCAATAGATAGTTGATGATTACGGAAATAGAAGCGGGCTAAGTCTGAAGCAGACTTTGTCGCTTTTGTCGTTTCCTTCAAAAAATCCGTTTCGGTGACGCCGTACTTTATGACGATTTCGCTCTCTTGTAGTGTTGTTCTCAGCGGGTTCGAGATATTGCTTGCCATACCTGCACGGGTTATCTTCTAAAAAGCAGCATTTTTCAAAAGAAAAAGCAAAAAATGCATTTGAAATGCAACCATATGAAATGCAGACCGAAAGGCCTCGAACACTGCTGATAGATACCGACTCAGGCTGCCTGCCGTTGGTTCGATATTTTCCTAGTTGATGATGTAAGGTGCTTGCGTAGTGTATTCCAACCTACTGATCTTCAAAGATGGTATCGACGAGCTCGAGATACTGCCAAAGCCGATCTACGGGTAGCTAAGTGCGAACTAAATGGCTATATGGTATCGTTTTTTTCTTTAGGTATAACCGAAAGCAAGGTTTTGCCGCTTTAATGGGGTGCAGACAAGTATTAAATACAACTCTCCAGCAAGAGGCAAAGAAGACGGCTCCTTAGAAATTCTTATTACGGATAGAGCCAAGATCAGATGCGTGGTTCCGTCAAAGCCTGTTGAAAAGTAAATATCATCTTCTGCACTGCAAGAACCTGACATCAAGCGTTAATTGGCTTTATGCATTCATTTAGAACACTCGACTGTGCGGGACAAGGGTTTGGCCAATTAGTGCGCTTTAAAAATATTGAACGAGGAGGTTTGATCAGACCAGGCCCGCTCTAGTAACATCTCGTCGCAGTCATCGGTGGCATAGTTGCCTTGCCTTTTCCACCAGTCATCCCTGTTGTATATCGAGAAAGCTTTTCCGCCTAACTAACAGTGTCTCCCGAAATGTTTCTTTATAAACATCTTAAAAGAGCGCAGCGCCAGTATAGCAGCATTATTAAATTGTGTATGTTTTCTTAAACCATGGCCCTTTGCGATGTTACCAGTAGAAAATTGTGCTGATGAATGGAATTTCCAGGCCTTGTTAAATAGCCGTCCATCTGAATTTCTACAGGAGTTAGAAATACCAGCCATTTCTAATTTCATTTCCACTTCATGAATTCACTCCCTTCCCACAAAGGGTCTTCATTTCCTGAAAAGTTTACTCAGTATACAGGCATATTCGTAGTGAACATATCAACAACGAAGCTGCCCAATTGTACTGCCGACCGTGTCGCTATCCATGACGGTAGCAATGATAATCATTAATCTATGTTGAGCTTTACGTATACATTATTTATAGTGCCTTAATGGCGGCCAATTTTTTTTCTAGTGCCATAAGCACGCGTAACTTTTGAACCTGTAATTCAAAACTTTGCTGCTACTACTATCATTTCTGTCACAGGTGCAACCAGCGCTGTTACTGTAATCGACAGTCATCTACAGGCACCAGAAGCCATCGCCGTCCCTACACAGGTTGGTATATCTATCTAGGCTTTTTGAATATGCTTTTATCAGTATTTTCTTTTTAATTAACAGGGCAGAGTTTACTTAAATGTATTGTAGGTACCACTACGTTATATCATAAATAACTCTGAAAGGTGGCCAAATCCTGGAAAAGAAACAAACTATTAGTAAATTATCTTAAGCGTAGAGTGAATTAACATATATATGTGTTACATTTTTATGCATGTCCAAAAATTCGTTTATTTACATTTATTTATTTTCCAAAATGTCTTACGTGTTTAGAAAAGACAGTACATCTCTCGCAAACGCTTGGAATTTCTGTTTATGTAACGCCTTAGAAGCAACAGTTGTTGCCGCAAACACCAGACCACAATAAAAAAGATATAAGAAAAATGCCCGTAGGAGAACCATTGAAACCCCTTGTTTTCTTGATATTATTATAGCAGTATTTTTTGTTAAGATGTCTCTTTGTAAGTTGATGTACATTTTCCAGCTATTTTTCAAAGAAATTGTGTATGTTCAATTGGCCGTGATTTATAGCTCCAGCGCGACATTAATATTCATATTTGTTATTTAAATAACAGGAGATTTCTGAAAATTTACCTAGCAAGTACAGTGCGCGAGCGCACAATGGGGTTTTGTATGAGAAACCCCTGTTCATGTTTAAAGACGATTATTTCACAATGCTATATCTTACATTGCTCAAATAAATACTAGAGAATGCTTGTTTTTATTTTAAATACGTAAAGGTAAATCAGATGCAACAGTTTTTACCATGCTTTGAGCTGGATTAATGTTCGAAATTATAGTTGTCATTATTATGTTGAACGTTGCTTGATTTTAGAAACGTTGTCATAAATTTCCACTTTTTTGGTGTTCCATACTGACTCAGAAGCTTGGGTTGGTTGCACATATATGATACTGAAGTATTTTTTAGAATATTTCATCATCAGCGCCAGTGAAATACGGCAGCCAATTTGTGAAGTTTCGGTTTTTGTGCTCCTTGCGTGACATGTGTGCTTACATTGTGCGAGTACTTTGCTTCTCGTCAAATGTTTGGGTAAAATTTTGCCTGCGATGAGTCCCGTATGTCCGAACTATGGTACTCATTTCCATTCGACTGTTGCCAAAAATACCAACCATTTCACTCTGGGTACCCGCTAGACCACATTCAAAATCAGAGTATGGGTCAACAGTCCCGAGCGCTGGAGAAGAATTGCCCAATGTTGGACATAGTTTGGAACCTTTGCATTTAAACTTTGCGAATAAAAAATGATGTTTGCTCCTGTTTTTCCTATATTAAGGAAAAACTTGTCAACTAAAGTGGTTTTAACTACAATGTTATCAGTACTTCCAGCACTTCTTATTCGATTCTCTTCGCAATATACGGTAGCCTGCTATTCCAGATTAGAAAAAGGTCTACCATAATTACTACCTTTAAAGAATTTAGAAGTAATGCAGTTGCCAAACTAAATGTTTAATGCTAATTCATTGCTTCCATTTTCGCCTACATAGACGTGCATAGCTTCTGCGTTGGGAGTGGGTCTCATGTCTAAGGTTGTTTGGTATTTGCTCTCGAAATCTGTTGATACATACAGATATATGCTCTTCCGACGTATCACGTGTACCACCACAAAAATATTTTTGATTCTCTCAGAACGCAACCAACCGCCGTGCAAGAAAGGATGAAGGCGGCGAATGGGGGTTGTCTGAGCAGCAGAAGCGTATACCGGGTACATAGAATATTCGCAAACAAGCGAAATAGGTTTCAACACTAAACAACCTACTTTACGAAACGCAAAAGCTTTCTATTTCTGTGATTCTTACGTTTTTGGCAGCAACCGTGGAGTGCAGGCTTTGGAGCAGAAATTGGCGAATGTTGCTAACAGCACCGCCTAGTCCAAAAACACGATGCTTAAGGACATCCCTCTAAGGTAAATAAAACTCGAAAACTCAAGCTTAAAAGGAATGCAACAAGAAAGGAGAGCAATCAATATTATGATGTAGTCCCAGAAAACGGTCAATGAAAAGCGAATGTGAAGAAACAAAAAAGAAACAGCTCTCGACGGGGACAGACCTTCCGTAGCTAGAAACAAGCGGCGGAAAAAGGCTTACCAATGCGCCGTCACAAAGGTGTCAAGAACAAGAACGAAAACTGACATCAGTAATACGATCTGCCAATCGCTTGGAGCGTCTTCAAGAACTCGGCTTAACTTGCAAGTACACAATATCAACTGCCTGTTCATCTCTCAGAAAATTGTAGAAGTGATTATGAGGCTAAAATAAGGAGTGGAGGTAGAGACTGGATCTAAGACTTCGGCTCACAAGGAAACAAGCTGTAGAACTTAAAAAAGGTTATCGGTGTAGGTAAGAACTACCGAGACCAGAAATGGAGAAGTCACTGAACATGTGATTGTCCCAAAAAGAAATCTGACTGCAAACGCTGCTACATGTACTTTACCATAATAAATGAAGCAAGGCACTGCACGGCAAAAAAAGGGGTGCTTCACACGCAGTGCAGAAAGCCACATCGCCAACACGATGGTTTATTAATATAAAGGGTGCTCAAGTCACAAATTTAAATCTATTTTGTCTAATATGTGGATACTAAAACCACAAAGTTAAATGGAAATTAGCGTTCATATGTCAAAACAAAGGTGGAGGTCGAACCACCTCAGATCAATCAAGGAGGAAAATACGGTAATCCTTATTTCAACTTACAATGTAATTTAAACACAGCGCACGTAGTTTCGTTGAACTAATCAAATTTCCTAACCACATTATCATAGCAACCTTAAAGAGCAAACGTACCAGCCACCGCTGTCTCAATCTCAACACTAACAGGCAACTAGGAAGAATTTACCAAAAGAGAGAAAGAGTAATCGCTACAGGAGCTTCCGATTCAGTTACGCTGCCACCTTATAGGTCGGCCAAAGGGAGCTTAGATAACTCTGATAAAACCCCTCCTGAAACCTGCGAGGCAATATGGGAAGGAGACAATTTGCTCTTATGAAAAGATAAGTGACGTTCGGTTTAGAAGACAGATCAGTAAAGCTACAAAGTCGTTAGGCATTTAGGGGTAAGTTTTGACCAGGGTTTAAATGCTTTGGTCATGCAGGTTTTAGCAGGGTTATGGAGAAGGAAACTGCTTACGGCAGTAGTGGACTAAAGTTCTTCACGCTATACTAAATCAGGTAAAAATCATAAAATTCGCGAACGATAAGTATACTCTAACAAAGGCGCAACAAGCGCTTGCCCTTCCCATAAGTAAAATAGATCGACTTACCTTGACCCTCTCTGTTACTATTTGGATTAAAACGGTGCCATAGGACATCATTGTCGAAAAAAGAAGTATGCCAAGCTGAGGGTCCTACCCGAGACAAGGCTAAGGAGAAGACTATTGGAAGAATTGTGACACGAGCTATCAATTACAACAGAAACTCCTGTTTGGATTAACAAATTAACAAAGAAGCTTAAGAAGGAGCGGCACGGGAGAGATTTTGAGGCTATCATCTACCATTTTTCGAAGATACTCACGGGCTACGACAATTTCCATGAGCACAAAGTGAACGCAGACTATGTCCTGTATCACATGCGATGCTAGTGTGTGCAATGATGTGACTTGTACACTGCAGTGCTGCACATTCTTTGGGGCGTAGAAGTTGAAGCTGAAAGAGACGCGTCTACCAGGAACCGATCGCGTGGTAAAACGGCTATTAAGGGCGAAAATAGCTGGACGGCAACCTCCGAGGATGACAAGAAAAAGCGACCCTTAATCGAATGACAATAGTGATTGAACTAAAAATCATTTTTTCAGTTTTTAGGTAAGCTGTATATAAATGAAAACATATATGGATCAATTTTTTTGCATGCGCCGACAAAGACATCCTAGTGGACATATTCACTCATTTTAACTTCCATTCTTCCTAATCACAGCCCCAATTTCCTCCTCCTCCTCACAAACCTGTATAAAATATTACTACAGTTATTTTTGCAAGCTTTTTTGATAGCGACATTGAACGAAGCAACGTTATTTCGAGATTTACTGGAGTCTCGTTCAGCATGTCCTAAATATAGTAATCCAAAATGTTCAAAGCTGAGTTAAAAAGTGGTCATAAGTTTAAATGTTATAATATTATAATGTTGTATAATGTTATAATGTATAAGTTATAATGTGCACGCATATTTCACCAACCACTAATGTTCTTATATGAGTCACAATGCGGACTGCGGCAATTTTACGGACCATAGGTTTTTTTGTGGTTTATTTTTTCTACAGTATTTACTGAACATTCAGAGTGGCCTCATTACTGGCTGAAAGTTACAGATTTTTTGGGTTGTCGTTCATGATTTAGGAAACAGTGATTGTATTATTTAGGGCATAAAAGACTAAGTACCTGAAGCATTCCTGATCTCTCATCGGTCTCTAAATTACGCCTACTTAGGATTTCTGCTGTGTGTTGCGCTCCACGCAAAAAAATCTTGAACTTCTTTTGCTGGTAGATTGCTATCCAACTGTCTCCATATTTTATTTATGTTTCGATATCTCCAAATATCCCCATTTGGTTTGGAGAAATACATTGGGTTTTAGTACTTCTTTTTTTGAAATTTTTTTTTTCTAGCTAACAAACAGTTTGCTTTATCGTCGCGCAGAGCAAGACCGTCTAAGCTGCGGAGCACCGATATTCCGTTACGTGCTTTCAGATTCCTTAAACTAATGCAATATCTGAAATCCCTAGAACAGTTTTCGATTCCTTCCAAATCTATGAAGTTAGAAACTGTTTTTTATTTTTTCCGGGCAATTATAAAAGGTTACCTTTTTAAGAGGTATAATGCTTTTAAAATCGCCAATCCTGTCAGGCTTAGAGTCAACTATCTTATCATTTGTGAAAATTAATTGGGTTGGTAGCTGCTTGTATGTTTGTCATGGTGTTTCAAAGGCCTGCAGAAAAAATAAAAGTCAAGCAGAATCCACCCAGGTTATTTCTAGTGGGGCAGGTTCTTTACTTTAAACCAAAGAGTTTATTCCAAGAACTTTTTCTCTCATAAAATAGGTTATCAGAGCATTATATAATAAAAAAGTAAAGGGGCCATGTGTGAATTTTAAGGTGCTATGTATGACCACAAGTGCAAATGCGGTACTTGAGTTTACCTACCTGTATCTATATTATAGGAATGTATGTTAAATTAATGAATGGGTCAACAAACTCACGACGATGTCATACTAAGAACGAATCTCCTTAATTACATAAACATCAAAAGCTAATAATAATTTATATATCAGCCAAGAGTATTGTATTTGCACCATCATTTGTTAAGATATCTGGAGTATTTTTTTGAGAATTATCTTTTTTCGCTAAATATGAAGTGCGTAAATGTTTTCGTCCCGTTTCGTAACTCTTCCTCTGTGGATGCAAATAAAAAAAGGCTAACAGACTGACAAACCATGACTACAGCGGCGTTGGTGGCTTGTGATGATAAGACGCTATAATTTAGACTTCCCAGGTACCGCAGAAAATATCGACGATACTAATAGTTGACGACGATAATACTGAGCCGACTGATCAAAGAAGTTTAAAAGAGCGGCTCATTCGCAAGTGAAGTAAGGTCAGAAAGACTACAAAGCGCATGGACAGGTTACAACATCGCTGCAGTACGGAGCAGTGTGCATGCCGATTCAACCATTTCACCATGATGTCGCGTTTAACAACTCGGCATACGAAAAACCACTCTGCGATGCCCTTTGTAACTAAAATTGCACTTTCATCCCTACAGAGTACAGTTTATTATACAATCAGAGACCCAGGACCATCTAAAGTTTTTTTTTTTCATTCGCTGATCATATTTTGAAGAGAATGCCTAAAGCCTTTTTGGTCACGTTATCTATTTTAATCAAGCTAATTTTCAGCTGAATGAGTATATGTATAAATTGCTGCATCTAAAGCTCAGACAACCCAAAAGTAAATGGTGAGCAACCATTTCACTCGCAAAAGCTTATTGTCGGGTGCGGCTTGTCGTCATCCGCAATGATTCTGTGTAGAAACATGTCGTTGTGGCTGTGCCCGGCATATTGCTATATGCTATGGGTTAATGTCATATGTTCTTGTTTTTAATATAACTCATTTAATTAACTATAGTGTGCCGTTCAGAGCGTATCTTCTTTAGACAATTAACCAGTTGTTTGCCGTCCGAGGTCCTTATCAACCTTGGAAAGTCGTCGGGGTTGGACACACTCTTGAAGCCCAAAATTCCGTTTTTGAATATAGAAAATCCGCTTGAATAGTTCTTTGTAAATCATGGTGGCCTAGATTGATATGAGAGGTATTTCAGATCGCTCCCAGTATACGTCATCCTTAATGATACTGAAATATACTATATTGTGATACTGGTAATAAACATACCTTATGTTTTGTTATTATTTGACTTAAAACGTATTTAATAAATAACAGTAATGACCTGGTAAAAACGATTTTCAAAATAACAGCAGAAACACATGCAAATATGTTACTGCCTTTTGTAGTGTACGTCAGATTTTCCGAATTGCCGTCTGGTACAAAAACAGGATATTCCAACACTTCAGCTTATTGAGGCCAATATTTGAAAATAATACATCTCAGCTGAAGAAGTTTAACTTCCGGTAAGACCATGAGGCGTTATTTTGTCGCTAAGTGCCGACATATGCGTAAAAGTAGAATGATATTAGGTCACTCAAAGAGTAGTATGTTTTTCTTATTTTCCTTTTTAACTCTTCGTTTGCTTCTCGCTTTTAAAATAAGTGCTATAGACGATTGGGAAGCTCCTTATTTCTCTATCCAGACTGTTAACATTGCTTTGAATACATCACAAACGTTTACTTCGTGCCCTAAAAATCGGTATGTTAGATGATAAGGAACAGCAACACTCATTTATGCCTTTTTCACTGAGGGCAAAGGGTTGTCAAAACCACTCGAAATAGGTATGAAGTATAGGACGGGGTATCTATAATCGAGTGTAATTGCTAGATAAACCTACGTCTCCCAGGTACAGAGTCATTAGCACGTATGAAAAAGTAACCTGGGTTATTTATGCAGCTTTTTTATATGGATAATAAATGTTAAAGAAAGTAAATGTTGAAAATATTTTTGTCATCTCAGGCCCATCCCTAAATCAAAGCAATAATTTGTGATTTGCACAATTCTTTTGCGATTTAAATCGATTTAAAGAACAAAGAGGACACTTGCCGGTTGTATATAACAGTAGTCCATTAACAAACAAAGAATTAAAAAAGCGAATCAGTTAATAAAACCGCCGTTATTCTTCAAGCAACTTTACACATGTCAATTATTATTGTTGAGAACCAACCTCTCGAAGGAGAAAGAAAGATCATGTAGGTATAGAGCAGAACCGTTTTGTTAAAAATAGATTTCCGCTGTAAACAGGAGTTAATAGTACTAATAGTAAGTTTTAACTGAGGTTTATAAACACCTTCTATAGGATGATACGTATTCATATTTGCAATGCTATGCTTTTTTACTTTACTTACTTGGTGCAGCTACCTACTGGTATCATACCAAGTTAGGTAAGTAATTATACGTTAACCAATAGTTTGTTTGGTACCGACGAATAAACGATGCTATGTGCCGCACGGGAAGCTCTAACGAAATTTAATTTTTAAGTTAAAAAACAAAATCGATTAATGCAAAATTTACCGAAGTATTTAGAGCTAGTTTTATTTGACTGATCACTACCAAGGGGTTTATTTGAAGTCTGGGTAAAAATTTGTATTATCCTGGAAAGCAGACTCTGCTCTATATGCACTTTTTCTATCGAGACAGTGGTTCTCGCACCATCGGGTGTTTCCCAAGTGATACATATCCGCCTTGTCATCACTATGTAAACATCGGCTCCATTGCTCCATTGCAAAAAATTCTGTTGTGGACCCGTATTATCCCTTGAAGAATCGATCTTAAATTTTGGAATACGCGTTAGTTTTCCACATCGAAAAACGTTATACCGCCAGAATTTGCTAATAGCAGGTATATTTTGTGCATATTTCTCTATATCCATAGGTCAAGGTGATTGTCCGTTGCAAAGATACTCTGGATTCCCGGTTGATCGAGTCCACTGCTGCGCCTCAGCCACAAACTCAACAACCAGGTAATTTTTTGCTTTTAGACAGGAAAATTTGCTACACAATCTTGCCAGGACTTCCAACCGTAAACTAGGAGATACTTAATATTGCATATACCTGTAGGAACGAGGCCACATTTCATATAAGGATATCTATACCACGAAATTGGATCTATTATATATAATTTAATAACGAAACACCAAAAATTGTATAATCTATTGCTGGAGAGAGATGAGAAAGGAAACAAGCTATAGATCCCTGTACGTCCGCACGTTCGGCACGGAAAAAGTTCATCCTCGACACACAAATTCGTCATTTCTGTATTGAGTATTTTCAACAAAACTAACCTCTGACCTCATCGATGGAGTTAGTTTAATTAATTAAAGTTCTCAGTGGTCTAATCGCAACCAGGATTTCAACGTATACAGCGCTCGGTTTAAAGATAGACTCTTTGCGTGATTGCTAGGTGTGAGACTAGCGGCTAGAATAATTACATCCTATAGTGTTGGAAATAGCAACTATTCGGTATTTAAACCCTTGCTTTTCACACTCGACGATCACCACCGGTGGCTGCGCCCATGCAGTGCCCTTACGATACAACACTTTCGTCGTGACGCCTCTTAAGTGACCACCATTGTTCTTAATTTGTCCTGGCGCTCTTACACGTCTATCTATCATCGTAGTACAATCTTCTCCCGGTATATTCTCGCTTGTTTTCCATCCAGTACCAGTATGGTCTTTCTCCTCTGTGAAGCCCTTTACGGCGAACTGCCTTTTTCGCGCCTTGCTTCAGTCCCGACGACCGCCTAGACTGAAACCTGGCTTTAGTATTAACGGTTGAAACCAGGGCAACCTCCACTTTTCGGCAATCTGGCCCTGAACTGTGCCCAATCCTCTGCTATGCATTAAATAACACTAGGTTGTCCAAATTGAAAAGCAAGATAGTTAACTTTTGTCCTTTGAACTTATTCACAAGTGTAGCTATTTATTTTTCATTAAAGTATTCATATTTATAATCTCTAACCTTCTGACATTTAAATGTTAACTTATTTATTCCGCAGTTTTAGGAATCTAGGGTATAAGAGTTTCAACAGCACTTTCAGTAAGTTTGATTTTTTTAGTAAACCGATTTCTTTAAGTTTTTTAATTTTTAATTTTAAAAAAGGTTGTAATCTGTGTGAGAAGTGTCTGCTATGTACGGTGGATGTCAGTCTTCACCTGTAATTTTTGCATTTTTGCTACAGTGATCATTACTGTGTGAGGTCCAACACAGTCGCAGGGTAGGAGCAGTTTATCTTTGTTCACTAGTCTTAGTTGCTTAGTGCAAAGTTTATTTATCACCTCCTTCGGCCGTTGACAGTACACCTTGGCCCTAATAAAAGAACTACGACTGAAGCTTTTATAAATAATGCCTGTCAGTCCCTGGAGTACCAAACGGATAGCACAAACTATTGCAGCTGTAAATTTCCTTCAGAGTGACGTAAAGGGTACGTTAACAAACGGAATTGTCGCTTTCGTGGCTCAGGAAATTCGAGGATGATAATACAAATCTCGTTTCACTACGAGAAAGTTATGGTGTAGTATTCTGGCCGACGCCTTCTGGGTACTTCAGCTTTCTAATATCTTCGCAGACTTTTTCTTAAAAGCTTAAAAGGATATTTGGCAAAGATCGTATTTGATACTCAAATTAGAAGGGACAAGTAAGATAATAAATGTAAACTCATTTAAATCCTATCGCCTTTTTTTTTAAGTACAATATAGTTTTTAGAGGACGATAGACTACCCATTGGTATATATAAATTAGGCAGAATGCTTACGCAGTTTTTAACCTGTTTGCCTCCAGAACGGTGACTTTTATCTAAAAAAGTGGGACAATATAGTTTGCCTTCTGTTTCGTAGTGTATTCTTAAAGCGCTACCGTTTTCAAGATTTTAAAGTATTTTCCTGTGTGGAAAAAGATTTGAAACCAATCGTGTTCAGTAAATCCTTTAATTTTAGCAAAAAAATGTTCTTACGTTGTTTGAAAAAATGATTATCTTTGATGCTATTGTACATGTTCTTATATTCTAGATGACCACCTTAGAAGGATGAATTCATAGTTGATAATGATGACGAAGCTCGGTTAAGCGGGTTCACCGTAGACTGTCAAAGAAAGCTGCATTCGATAGGCTTTTCCATGCTAAATCTAAAGATAATGCCAACTTATATCGAAATTTCTACTTTTCTATTTTTTTGTCAAAAATAACGATAGTGGTCAATTGCTAGCGTAGCTATTGTTGTTTGTCACGCGAATAAAAGCTAAAGAGGAAATTTGAAAAAACAGGTAAGCATTTCGACATGGATTGCTTAATCTTTTTCGCGGGAGTATAGGACTAACTTCTTAGTGTAGTTGACATAAAAGCCTTACAACGAATACACGGATGACCAATATCTATGGTCAAACCTCTACCAAAAGAGGCAAAAAATCTTAGACAATTAGTCTAACAAGAGTAGAAGAAAAGTAAAAAATATTATTGGCTTAAAGTCGAACAATCTATTTAATGGGATGAGATCCAAATCTTCTTTCAAAAGAAAACAAAGCCATTGTTGTGGTTCTGAAAACCGCAAAAATTAGTTCAGTAAATCTTTGATTGCAAATTATATCCTTACGGTTGATTTTATAGCAAATGCTCTTTTTACTACATCGAAATTCGCAATATGTTAATAAATTTGAGGTCGCTTAACTTTGGGTCCACTGTAAGTTTTATTTTAGGGTCAAGCGTTTTAAAAAAAAATTTAGGATTCGAGCATGTGTAACATATGCCAATTCGTTAAGCTGGTTATCTACAATGATCTTTTGATCTACAATGAATGAAATATATAAACTGGGGGCACTTCTTGTAAATAAAAATTCGGAACTAAATGACCAAGTACAAATGTAACACTCGAGATATTTTATATACACGTTAAGATTATTACGACTGCCAACTATTTATCGAAGACGACTACCGATACTCCTAAAAAACAAACTGCTAAAAAATGTGGTTTATTGCAGATGATACCTAGTCTTGTCATACTTACCAAAACGGGTATGTACACTCGTGGAATCATTATGATAGTGGGAAGTGGTTACATTGTTTTTTTGACGAATTCTCTTTTATGTCTAAGATATTCCCTCAAGTAACCTTGTCCTATATCCTTCAAACGTACCTTAAAATATTTTTGAAAACCTTCAGGCCTAACATTTGAGAAGAACTAGCACTCTATGGTCCGAGCTATATAGGGCATTAAAAAATAAAGTGCCTGCGTTGCTTACAATGGGTAAGTTTAGTCGCATCAGTGCCTTGTAGCCTGAGATAAGACGGTTCATTTGGAAGTCACGCTGTCTATTGGAAATCGCTTTCTAGGAATTAAAAGACGGAACCAAGTGGGCGAGCTTTCACGGAGTTGAACTTGTAGCCAATTTACCGTGTAAACTCCTCCACAATGTCTGGTCCGCAAGATTCCTTTTTTTTTGCAGTAACAGTCGTCAGCCGGTCTTTTCTTGCAAAGAGTTTCTCCGTGCTTTAGACCAATGTTCTGTGCACTGTATAATAAGTAGTGTCGAGCACTTGTTGTGCCCGTTGATGATTTTATTCGAACCACAGCATCCGGGACATGGAACACCTAGCCGTGTCTAGACCTCGTGAAAAAACTGGGCATTGAGATGCCTTTTTTATATTTTTTTCTTCCAGAGTGCAAGACAACGTGCAGTACAAAAATGCGTAGGCTATGGAAATAAGCATCACTGGTGCTCTGGTGCCTGCTACTTTAGTCATATCTCTATATTCCTGCATAATTTCCTGAGTACCTTTCTGTTCATAGCAATGATGTTAATTGTCGAATATCTTAACAATAGAAAAAAAGAAGTAAACGTAACAATTAAAAAACAATTAAAAAGACAATTAAAAAATATCCTAAAAATGAATACTATTAATTAAAAATATTAATATCAACTAAGATGATTACTAATTAAAATAATATACAAGACGCACCGGGCTTTTTTACAAAATAGGAAATATTCGAGGATGTGTGTCTCAAAAGGGGTTTTCTAAATTCAAACAAGGTATTTTGGATTCGTGGAGTACACCTTTATGCGCTCGGACATCTAAAGTCTATAAGGACTACTAAAATGCATTTTTGTAGGAAAATGTGCAATGGCATAACTCCGCTAGACTTAGCTGATGGAAGTTTTTGTCATAGTTGTTTTTTTTATATATATCACGGCCGATTTTTCATGAGTTTCTGGGAGTTGCTCGTAATCAAAGACCATCTATCAGCAGCCGATAGATATTATTCACTGACATCGTTGTCATTTTTTGTGGAGTGATCAACATGAAATTAGAAACATCCTACAATTAATGATCTAGTCCAGCTTTTCACGTATGTAATGAAATAAGCTTTGTGTCACGCAATTTAGCTAAGTGGCATCATCAATTTTTAAATATGCGCTAAAATGTCTACTCATGTGTAAGTCATTTGGAACAGAGACAAGCAGTGACTTGTCGCAATAAAATTGACGCATCCATGCCGAAGTCCTTATTAGCTCGGACTAACGCAGAAACAGTAATCAAAGTACGAAAAACCTCTTTAAAATATATACGATTTTGTAACGTTTAATAATAGTTCACTGCTAGCAAAGCCATCTTATTGTATAAACAGTTATTCAAACTTATGCGTATCTTATTTCCATATAAATTTTCTTGTATTAACAATATAGGTAGACCTGATTTCATGCACATACACTCTATATAGATAATTCTAGCAATCGTACGGCTTTATAATCAATTATGCCTAAATTGAAAGCTCTTTATTTATAATCGAATTCTATGTTTTGAAGCATCAGTTTGCCGTCTCCAAAAATTAACGTTATCGGTACATTCGATAGCAATTAGTATTTTTTTTATAGTTCAAGCTGAGTTCTAATAGTAGCTTTTTAATTTATTCATACAAGTTCTTTAGCGCTTTTGAATGCTAGTGGGATTTGAAGCAGCGATGCCACCTTATGCTTAGGTGCATTCGTATATCAGCGCTGTGCCGAATTCTGTTCAGTGGCGGCGAACACTGCTAACTAAATAGTTACGTACAGGTAAACTGTATTGCAATTTATTCAGAAAATTTTGTGTGACTCTACAGAGAAGCGAACGCGTCCAACCAGTTTGGCTGTCAACATGTTTGAAGGGACCGGAATACCCGTACAAACGCCATCTGCAGGTAATATTGGATACTCAAAAGCTCTATTTTTTCATCTATTTATCCATTTACTATCTGCAATTAGTGGTCAAAAATGACCGTTGCGTCTCCCAGATAAATGCACTAACGCTGGCTGAACAAACTGCTATCTTCTGGGCTATTGCTCTAACAACAGTACCTGCAAGTGCAATGTAATATAGTAAAGGATTTTTAAGTCTTTGTGCACTTCATTGTCTTCCGATAAATTTCAAATTATGGTGCGATGGTAGAAAAAGTAGCGCAGCTGTTTCGAGATCTATGAAACACTACGATGGCTCGTTGAACCAAATTCTCTCAAATGCGTTTTTCACCATTCTATGCACACCGTATTACTTTATCGGTTACTGATTTTGTGTAGAACTTGAACCAATTATTTACGTATGCGTGGAGATATCTTAGAATAGAGCGCCACTAGGTTGGACACTCTCCTGGCTAAGTTATTAATGCGAGCCTTCAGTAAATGCGAATCTTATACTATCAAGACAAGTACCTAGATGTCAAGTTTAGTGTACGTCAAACATTCCCGGTTATCCATTAGAAAAAACAAATAAGCCTAGAAAGAACAGCTGCTTTGTTCATTAAAACAGTATAAACTACGGCGTACCGAGCTTTTTTATTCATAAAATGGGAAATGTATGAGAATACGTAGTTTAAAGACGGTTTGCTGACTTCAAATAAGGAATTTTGGATCTGCAGCATACATCTTTCTCTGATCGAACATCTAAGGTTAATGAGGACAGTCTAAAGGCACTTTTCTAGGAAAATATTAATTAGCTGAGATAACTAGCATTAACAATTTTAGCTTGATGGAATTTACACAAAAATTAGAAGCTTACTTGTTTAGTAAACTGCTTTTTGTTACACCTTTAACATCTCGCCCGACATTTGACAACAGGAAGCTATAACGACAGGTTTCTAGAATTGTTATGATTGTTTTGGATAACGAGAAGTGGTGTCTTTACGAAGGCATGAGTGGTTTCAGAGGAACATCATCATTTGTGTTTAGTGTTGCTATAAAGTTACTACACATTGGGAGATGTTTGAGAGAAGCAGTACGGCCAACAAGGATTCGTATACAATCAAGTTGCATCGACTAAACGAACTTATCCAACAAGAAAAGGAAATTATCGCAAGAGATATCGCAAGAGGCATTAAAATAATCTGGCAAGATCTTGGAAAGTTCTTCTTTCTTCACCATATTTTCCAGGGTTCGCATGGACGGCTTACCTTTTTTTTATTACTGCTAAAGAAAACTCCTAACAGTTTTTTTGGCAACGAAGAGTGTACCAGAAACTAGCTGAAAAAGTTTTTCAATACCGGATATGAGAACTTCTACCGAAATAGAATAAATGAATTAGTTAAAAGATAAGAGAGGGTCGTAGAGAGTGGCAGTGTATACATAATAAATTAGTTTGTGACAATCTAAGACTTGAGATCAGCTGGGCAGATATTAGGGTCCATTCGACTAGTGTTCCTTATATTAAATCTAAAAAACCTGATGTACGACATTACTGTTATCATGATAGGTCCTCACTATGTGGGCTGATAGGCTGTTTTTTGGGCAATCTTTTGTTCAGCTTTTGGCAAATCTGATCCATTAAAATATAGATGAGGTTTGCTATAGTCCGTGCATTAATGTTGACAAAAAGTGGTAGCACAATATAATGATTTTGCGTTTTTCAATTTTTTCAAAAATGAATATGTAATATACAAAAAAAAACACCCTTGAAAGCAACAGGTAAATGTTGACAAGAAAATAGAATAATTACAATAGCATAATACAACTTCAAATAGAAGACTAGGTTGTCAGAAATGGAAAAAATATCATATTAGACGTCCATGGTTTTGATAATAGTAACGATTTGTTGTCTAAACCTAAATTCCACGTTAATTCTAATCCCGGTAAGATGAGTTAACTTGTGTTGGCATATTTTATAGCGCGTATCATTGGATACAGTGGTTATGACTAGCATGGTTTTGTATGCCGAACGTTTGGAAGCGTATAGCATCTCCTGTGGAATATGAAAGTTTGACAGGTTTGATGAAAGCTTTTCGTGCATTGTTTGTCGTTGTTCTGTAATTACATAGGTTAAAAAAGTGTATTTCGATATGCAGTTGGAATAAATTCATCAATTATTCAGTTCGTTCGTTCCGTACCATTACATTTTATTTAACTGATCTAACATTGTAACATTTGCGCTAGAAGAAGTAGTGACCCATGAGCTTTGATTGACCTTAATATGCAAACCTATTTTTTACGGTAGATTACTTGACAAGCATGTACGTACGCTGCACATATTATTATTCACCAATGCTGTTCGTATGACTGTTTTCGCTTTTTGCATTTTTTTGAATTTTTGTTAAACACAAAATTTTTAACCGAAGTCTGTCACCTTCTCCGATTTTTTGTATATTTATTTTTCGTTTGTTTTAATGAACACTTTATTTTTGAAAAGAGCAACTATACAAAAGTTATATTTCACTTCAGATTTCTTTCGTTAAACTTTTTTTGCGAACACATTACGGTTAGTAGCATTTGTGCGCGGTCAGTTAGTCTTTTCTTTTTATAAAATAACAACATGTATTATTTCAGGTATGTACAGTTTCGAAGGCTTAATTGAAGGCACTGGACTTACTCCGGGAGCGACGCCCGTTGCAACGCCTGTTGCCTTCTCACCATCGTGCACAACTCAACAGCAGGTCCGTTTTATGTCCCAATATTTACCACAGTGGTATACGTTGCTAATCAAGTGTTTAATTAATATAAAAGAGATTAGAAGGATAAGTATATGCCTGAACCTTTTACTAGAATTACCCATATTTAGATATATATATATATATCTTAGGAAATCCACTATATGTATATATATATATATCCATCTTACTTGTGTCAAAAAATTTTTACGTTGTTGTCTTCGATGTAGGTTTAGGCTATGATCCTTTCCTGTTCCACAGATATATAATACCTATGGATTTAAAAGTAGAAAGTTATACAATAACTTTCTACTTCTAAATCACATCAGATATGGTCCATCGAGCTTTAAATATACTATATCTTTACTACTTTATATATACTATATAAATGTCTGTCTTGGCCATTTGCTTGTAAATTTGATTCCAGCAAATGCAGGTGGCTGGAAAATAAGTTTCGCATAGTTTTATTATTATATGCTTATTTTATTTACAACTGCCATGTCAACTCAGTCTTTGAACAACAGCTTTGACGAGTACTGTATCTGAAATGAACACTTTTTGGTTATTTGGCAAGTATTACCGCAGAAATTGAATAAATCATGTCTTTGTCAGGATTAGACCTGCTAGGTATTTTAATCTTTAAAGGGTTGGATTTGTCAGAGGTTTTGCTAAAACAATAGTTCCTCGCAACTCTGTAGGGATTCTCCCTTCTTACTACAAGTCGGCTCTGTAGGATTTCGTTCCTTCTACTGGGGACTCATATCTTCCTATGTCGCTTGCCCTAATACGAGGTTTTGTTTTAATATTACTATTGTTTCTCTAACGCAAACCTGGAAGAAGTTCAGCTCGTAACGTATGTCTTTTTCACTCTTATTCCTTTTTAAGGTTCGTTATCTTTGTGATATACTTGAAGTCGCCATCGTACATTTATAATCTTAAAGAATTCGTATGCGACTGCATTGGCTCTCAATGGGTGCCTCAGTTTTTGCTTTTTTGCCCTCCACTTCTTAAAGGGTGTGCAGTGTTTTAGCGTACGTCCTTTCAGGCAGTCCTGATGTGTTTCCTCCAGTTATTTGAGTATGACATTTTTCAGTACTTTCCTGCTTAAGGTCAAGATAGTAAAATCGAGGCCGTTTGATAGGCTGTACTTATCTCAAGGGGGTGACAATCTCCACCATTGTTCTTGTTGGCTTTCATAGCTTTTGCCCAGACGGGAGCCGCGTAGAAAACTCTGGAGTCCGTTACTGAAGCAATTATTTACATCCTTTTTCTGCTTATCCTTGGCATTAATCTGCGAATGCTCTATGCTGCCAAGGTAACCGTTTTAGCTGCTCGATCCATATGTGAAGCTTCATTTAGTATCTTGGTACCTTTCTAAAATGATGTTGAGATCATGTGAACAATATGTCCTATGTCTTCTCGGATCCTTGCTCCAGCTAATGTCTGCTACTTCATTCCGTTGTAGTGCTCAGAATTGTATTCGCTTTATTCTCGAGCCCCGTATGCCTGCCGCATCTAAAACTATGGCTTCAGCCACCGTGAGCAAGAGTTTCCTTTCTGTTGGTCTTTGCGCTTTTGGCATGATTTAACCTACGCTATCCGCGCCTTTCGTATGCCCCCTTTGTCACTGCGATGTCTATGCAAGAACTCTTGTTGAATCGTCTGTTAACGGTCACATCACGCGGTCTCCTTTATTTTAATGACTTTTCCATCGGGTATCCGTCTAATTTTTCCATGCTTTAGCCGCTTAATACTTTTCCTGATCCAGTTTCAAGCTGAATTCTCCATCTAGTCGTTAATCCTTGCCAACGTCCTTTGGACCCTCTCTTGTAAAGTTGTTTCTCCATGTGCATCGACAGTTTTAGTAACCCTGCGGTCATGGAGTAGGTCACGTCCTTATGTGTTACTATCCTACTGTTCGCTTGCTAAAGTACAAGTCTCTGCAGATACAGCAATACCCCTTTTCTCTCATGTTATCTATAATCACTTGTCAGCAAGAAGAGCTGAAGACATTTTGTATGTCTAGTAAGGTTAGCGCGCACAGTTTTCTCGATCATTGGTTCTGTGTGTTATGTCTTTCGTTTTCCTAGATTTCTTTCTCTACGGTCATCTTTGTAAAGGGGGTTTTACGGAACTTATAGTGAAAATCAGAGAACGCTCCGTGTTCCTTAAGTTAAGTCTTTAGTCTTCCGTTATTAACTTTTCTTACTGTCAATACTGACCCATCAGTTGTTGGGCCGTTCATTGGTCCATACAATGATACAGGAGATCTAAGGTTTAAATTCACACGTACTCAGCTAACTCATTGCGTTCAGTAGCTAACAAGCAGTATTTTTCTATTGTATAAAGTATAAATTACCAAGCATTTAATTTTAAGTACAGCTCCATTTCTAGATCTAAACCATTCATTAGTGATTTTAAAAATGTTTGCTCTCTAATTTTCAAATAACCACCGCCACTATAATAATAGTAGCTGTACGAGTACTATATGGACAACTCACTAAATTCACTCAACGGACTGAGCTTATTAAGTGTAATAACTCTCTAAATAAGAAATGGTATGTAATGCAAAAAATCCATATGTAAAGAGACAACGAATGCAACAGCACCAAAACGTTCGATCGTCAATTCAGCTGATACACGAAATCTTAATGTTAGCCTATTGAACAGCATACGTCTGTTTGAACTTTATCGTATACAGAACCGCATGCAGTGAAGTAAACTCGTCAAAGTGTTGCTCATATACGCTTTATATGAAAAAAAATCCAGTGGAAATAAAAAATCTTACATTATTCAACTAATATTGCGGTCTATTAGAACACAGATCTACGCAAATATATTCCAATCACCTAAGTCAAGTCTATGGTATCCCTAAAATGAACTTCGGAGTCAATAATTTTTAAACTAATTGGGCTGGAGTGATAGTGGTTTAATATGTGCTAGAGATACGTTCTTTTATTCTTTACACACTTGTCCCATGTTTGGTGGTTTATGGACATTATACCTACCATCCGCGTTCTTATATGTAACTTCTAGTACATTATTACTATGTATCTATGACTTTATTGTAAATCACTGTTTAGCCACCACCTGCCCTTTTCAAGTCATGGAAAACCTCGTGATCACAGAATGCTACATTAGGAGAATAAGCGGGCCGAAGTTAACGTTAAATATTGTTTTGGTCAATCCGGCAAGTTATTGAGATATGGCGGTGGGGTCTAATGTTGTCATGAAGAACCCAGACTGTGTGTTTTCGCTGTACCAATGGTCCGTGAAGCCCTTGAGGAACTCGAGATAGCGGGCTGCATTCATTGTTTCATTTTAAGCGAATATTTTATAGTAGCCGATACTCTCGGTGTTTACTGCAAGCATTACTACCGCTTTAAGTACGAAACTACACGTCGATTTTTTCTAGGGGAACCTCATTTACTCGCCTAATCCCTTTTTGCCTGACGATAGATCAAACGATGCCTCATGTGTAGTTCAATCCCTCAATCATCTGCTCAAGAATGCTTTTTTGTTAACTGAAGTTCCGCAAATTGCACGCAGAATACATCTAACGCGTTTTAAACAGGCCTGGCGTCAATTTATGAGGGTTCCATTTTATTTTAGTTTCTTCATACTCATCGGTTACATTATAAATCTACAACACGTTACATGTGAAATACCAGTCTTGGGCAACGGAGCCCTTAGACTCTAAAAGTGGAAGGCCTGGTCGATTGCGGCAAGGCGTTTTTGTCTTCTGGGTTGCGACATCTAGTCAGCTACTCGCTAGTTTTCAACACTCCAATCTCCGCTCTTAAAATAATTGCATTATTGATTGATTTTTCACGCAAGGCCTTCGTACCTAATATCTCCAGCAATTTTCAATGAATGTCTACAGCGCTGTGGCATTCGATGAACAAATGGTTGACCACTGAGAGTTAATGTTAAACACAAAAATATGTCCTTTTTCTAAACCTATCATCTCTCCCAAAGTAGATCCGGCCTGTTTTAACTCGCAAATTTCTAAAAGATTGGAATAGTTAACAACCAATTTTCGTCTCTTAACGGCGCGTAGCTTAAATTGTATTCAATTTTAAAATTCGGTGCATTCACTTGTAATAAATAAATCGTAAAAATGCGTCGTTGTGTCAAAAAAAAAACTGAACTACCCTTTTCAAATTTCATATAATGCTAAACATTAGCAATTTCAGCTTCATGTAGAAGGCATGCTTCCAGATTGCTGTACATGTGCATACAATTTCAATAAAATCGATTAGCCTGAGATTTATAGAAATCTAAGAACAATAACTTAAGTGCTGAAACGGTTATATAAACGATTTTGATCATTGTTTGTTTTGAGCATTACTTGTTTTGCTGCCTTTCCGAAAAAATTGAAAAGTATCGTACTCTATTTTAAATTCTTTTATCTGGCCCTTTACTAATTCAATTTAATTCCTTTATCGAACAAATTTATGGTAAAATTTTGATAGTAACGAAGACCAGGGTCAGCAGCAGAGGCTGAAGTGTAGTCGATTCGGGTGCAAAAAACACATTTTTTTGCTTTCAGTTGATATTTTTCCAATATTTTTTTCAATATGAGCTTTCAATGAAGTGCGAATCAATCAGTCTGGAATTTGCCACAGATTGTGAAATCTTTAATTGCTTTGACGATGATCTTTTTCGTGCACTATTGTTGTACGTTGTCCAGTTTTCTTCACTCGACATTAACCACTTTAGAAATGGCTCAATTTTGTTTCGTTTTTGTAGAGCTTTGAAGCTGGAAATTCGATCGAACAAATTCTTTTGGGTCAGTTTTCATGGCACCCAAATGTCAAGATTCTTTTGTAGCCAGTTTTCTTTAAATGATTAAAAACTTATTGGTAATGAATGTTTCTTGGTGATATTATG